ATTTAATTTATAAGGCCATAATTTTTAATTTATTATTTTTAATTAAATTTGATTTATAATTTATAATTTAAATTTTTTATTTAATATACAATTTGAAATTAACAACACTAAAATAATTAATTTATAAATGTTCAAAAGACTATTTTATCATTTTTCCATTGTTTACTAAGTAATAGCATGAGGGTAAAATAGACATTTTACACTTTAATCCCATGAGATACCAATCCCACTGAAATAATCCCCCCCTCCCCTCGGATTGTTTAGTCCCTCGTATGAGGGATATGGAGTCCGGCAGACTAAAATTGCACCAAACGATAGACATCCTCCTCCATTGGATAAGCAATCCGAACAGTAAATAATCTCCCCACTCCCCTCCCCCTCCCAATCCCTTGAATCAAATACACCTTTTATGGATACGGATGTGGCACTATGATAATCTAAAAAATATGATACGGATATGGTTAGGATACGTTGAAAAGAATTTATAATGTTTAGTATTATATTATACATAACCAAACCAAACCACAACAAGCCTTAAGTCCCATCAAATAGGGTCGGCTACATGAATCTTTTTTCTCCACTCGACTTTATTCAAGACTATTTCGTTAGTTAAATTAAGAAGGTTCATATCTCTATTTACTACACTAGCTTACGTCAATCTAGGTCTGCCCCCCCCCCCTAACACTTCCATCTACCATCACTGTATCATATCTCTTTATTACTGTCTCTATTAGTCTTGTTGTGTATGACTAAACTATCTCAATCTATTTTCTCTCAGCTTATCTTCTATCGGTACTACCCTAACCCGTTCTCGAATACTCATTCCTAACTCCATATTTTCTAGTCTTGCCACACATCCACCTTAGTATCCTTATATCAGCAACACTGATCTTATCTACATATTATTTCTTAGTTGCCCAACATTCCGACCCATACAATATCGTTGGTCTAATAGTCATTCTATAAAACTTCCTTTTTAGTCTAATGGGTACTTATTTATCACACAGTACCCCAGACGCATTCCGTCACTTAAGCCACTCCACCTTAATTCTATGGACCATATCAGCTCCAATCTCCCTTACCGTTGTGATAATCGATCCTAAATAACGAAAATGTTCACCTTTAGGTAGTTCTTAACTCTCAATTTTCACTTCTCATTTGCTTTCATTGTTATTGTCACTAAAATTACACTCTATGTACTTTGTTTTAGTTCTGCTTATCCTAAATACTTTATATTCAAGTGCTTCTTTCCAAATCTCCAATTTCGTGTTAACTCATTCTCTAGTCTCATCCACTAATACGATATTATCTGCAAAAAGCATACATCATGGCACATCATTCTAAATATTTTTCATCAACTCATCTATAACTAAAGTAAAAGATAAGGACTTAAAGTTGATCCTTGGTGTAACCCTACGGTAATTGAAAATTTACCCATCTCTCCAGCAGGCGATCTAGTAGTGATCACCATACCTTCATACATATCCCTAATCACATCAATGTAATGTTTTGTCAACCCTTTCTTTTTTAACACCCACTAGATTATATCCCGAGGCACTCTATCATATGCTTTCTCAAGATCGATAAAAATCATATGAATGTCTCTTTTCTTTTCTCTATACTTTTCTATTACTCTCTTCAAAAGATAGATCGTTTCTATTGTTGACCTACCAGGTATAAATCCAAATTGATTCTTGACACCTCTGTTATATCTCACAATCGACATTCCATCACTGTCTCCCATACTTCATTATATGACACATTAGTTTGATTCTTCTATAGTTGCAGTTACTTAGAATTTTGATATTAGTTTAAGAGCCAATAATCGGTTTACCTCTTCTTCTTCCTATTTCAATGGATACGTTAATTTCATAAAATCTGGAAAAGTAGGTTACTAGTTTAATCTCATTATTTTCTTCTTCGGTAGCAATAAGAAAATATTTAAAATTTATTGTATTTAGTCTAACAATTATGCTCTAATAACATGCAAAATTATTACAATTTCAATTTTATAATAATTTGGGTGTGTGACTTAGAGTGTCTCAAAATTACCATCAAGTATCTGATACATTTAGGAAGTATTGGATGCGTACCCGTAAATATCCATGGGGTTTCTGATATGGGTACAATATGGATACAACTCTCTTTAAGAAGTACCTGTGCTTTATATTTCTGCTTCTTCTACTACTACTGCCGCTACAACTTAAATGTTAAAGACAAAGGGGTGTTCTTCTCTTGGTGCAGCTTGCTAGACAACCTCTTTTCTTCAGGGAGACCAATCCACAACCCAGGAAGCATACCTTATGGCAGGCAACATCAGATTTTACTGGTGGACAGGCAAGCATACACAGGTACTGTATATGAGCTTCTATTTATTTATGAGGTGCTACTTTTCTTGGATATGACATTGCAGTATTATTTTAAGCTAATTGCATTAAAAATATCACACATACTGCAAAAAAAATTTCTTTGGAGGTATTCTTCCATCTTTATAGATATGGTTATATGCATCTCAAATATGATCTAAGGTGAAATGGAAGAGTGATCAATTGCCGTAGGTAGGTAGGCATGATTTGAATTGCCTTTTTTTCTTCTTCTTTGTTTTCCCTCATTGTTCTCGTTTAGGAAGTGTGTAATGAAAGAAAGAATGATCAAAATTTTCTTTTTCTTTTTCATAGGTAGTTTTTGGATAAATCAAATTAAAGAGGTTTTTGCCCAAAATCTGTGTTAGTTGGTTCTGAGTGTAAATAAGTCAAAGAGAGATTAATATCACTGTTTTTTGTTTTTTTGGTTGTTTCCCTTAATTTGATTAATGATATTGGGATTCTTATTTTTGCTGCAGGCAACATTTTCTTCAGTGCCCTCAAGGATTGTTAGGAAAGCATTTTGAAAAACTTATTCAATGCGATCCTCGCCTTAACTTTCTTAGTCAACAGGGAGAGATAGTTTTAGAATCTCCATATTTTGAACCCAGGATTTCTATGTTTGACGACTCAAATGAATTGAACCGCGAGTTTGATTTGAATGGCGAAGAGAGGCAAGCTTTTTTCGACTTGCGGGATACTGCATCACCATCTAGAGCTCAACCTTCACCATCTAGAGCTCAACCTTCACCTAGCTCAGGTATAATCAATATGTACATATAATAATAGTGTTATATACAATAATATAAGAAGTATTCGTTGAAAAGTATCGGACACATATTCCATACCCTTGTCCGCGTGTCAGGTATCTGACATGGGTATTTGATTTAGTTTGAAGAGTCCGTGTAATATAGATTAGGGAACGCCCATATGACTGGGATTGAATGATCCAAAATTCAAAAGAAACTCGCACTGATTTGTGTTTAATTTCCATGTCACTGTATATCTGAAGTTCTATTACTTGTTTAGTACTTCATTGTTTGCTTGAATGATATCCAGAATTGGAAAGAAACTCAACACTGATTTGTGTTTGATTTAATTGTTTAATACTTCATTTTAATTGAGTCAGTATAATTAACAGTGATCTGTATGGGTGTTCAAATTACCCAGTAAACCAAACAACCGAACCAAACCGATCTCTTCAGATTGGGTTGGGTTAGTTTTTGAGTACATTGGTTTGGTTCTGGATATCCAAATTATCAAACGGATAGGATTGAATTGGTTTTCGTTTTAGTCTTCGTATATATATTTATTTCAAAATTTTATTTATATTGACATGTTTTTACCTAATTGGTTTATTATAATAGACTTGATTTCAACTAATAATTTTTCACATACAACAGTTATTTGGTGAACAAAAGAAGTATTAGAAGCTTTAGTCGGATTTCACAGTTGATTTAATTTGTATTGGTTGTATTAATGAATTTAATGTGTTGATTATATTTAAGCTTGAGTTAGATTTAATTTGTATTGACTTGTATTATACAATATTTTTCTCTTTATTTGTATTATGTTTAAATGTTAAATACTTGTTTATTTTAATTATTTATTATTGATTTATTTATTCATTTTTAATATAGTGGAACCGTGGGTCTAATGCATGATTGGTTTGGTTCTGGTTTAAAAAATTTGGAACTGATCATGATTGGATTGGTTCTAAATTTAGTATCAAACCAAACCAAACCGGCCCATGAACACCCATAACCTGTATCAAGTATGCTTCTAAATTGTGTTTGCGTTAAGTTTCCAAGTTCCCTTTCTTTTCTACTTTCCCTTTGAAGATGCAAATCTATTAACAATAATTACCTTCAATTTTTAAGAATCTACATTTCAACTGTTCTAAATCTATGAATTTAGTGATGGACACCCATGCAATTGAAGAAATCAGAAGTAGAGCTGAGGAACTCAAGAGGCTTATTGAGAAAGATCAAATCAAAGTACCTGAACTCCGCTCTTCTATGTCAATGAGTGATCTAGTAAGCCACATTGAACATCGGTTCTCAGAACAAAGGACATCCAACAATTTTACCCTTTCTGTGGAAGAGCGACAAAGCTTGGAGATTCTGGATGAGATTACTCGGTGTTTATTCAGTGATTCTCAACTTACACTAGCTTCCGATGAGAAATGCATTATGTCGAGAGTCAATTCCCTTTGCTGCCTTCTTCAGAAGGATTCTATGACATCCCAAAACTTGCAGGTTAAAGGTGATGATAGTTCTGATGTAATAATGGACAAGAAAATACGCGAACCAAACAAATTGTCTGCATCAGATGGTGAAAGCAAGGTCCTGGAGGATCTCACAACTCCCGAGAGTGAACCCAAGGTTTCGGCCATGACGAGGAAGGACTCAGTTGGGGAGCTGTTGCTTAATCTTCCGAGGATTGCATCTTTACCGCAGTTCTTGTTTAATATCTCAGAAGATTTCGACAGTCAAGCTAGATAGGGTGTGATCTTCCTTGTTTTCCATGGCGGGAAAGTATGTAAAAAGTACTAGTATGGAAATTTCTCTCTCCTTTGACCGTAAATGTAGATAGCGGTTACTGGTTATTCACTGAATTTTCTCTCCTTTTGTATGTCTGGTCTTCTTTTCCAGTTCTGTGGTTTAGTTCAAAAGTACTATTTGCTTTGTACAGTTTGCAATGTTCTGTGATCAATCTAAAATGAATTAATTTTGGCAGAAAATGTTTTTCAATTTTAGAAAGTGATTTCATTTTTGTTTCTCCGAGAACTCAGGGAAAGTTAAGTTTCCTTCAAATTACTAATCATTTTGATTGCCTGTTTAACACATTTTTTTTGGGACCTAATGAGGCGTCAAAATCCCACCACCACCACCATTGTCACTATAACCACCACAACTGCTTCCCATCACTCCTCCCACCACTGTCACTGTCACCACCAATGCTGCCGCTTCAACCACTTAACACTATCACAACCATCAACAATGCAGCCAAACATGAAAAATATTTGATAAAAAAGACAATTTATAGAGAATGTTTTCACTGAAAAAAAGAAAAAAAGTGTTTTGGCAATGAAAAACAAGTGCCTAATATTTGACTGCACAGAGTGAGGCATAAATTAATTGAAAAAGTTTAGAAACACAAACCAATCACATGAATGCTGTTTCTTTTTCTTTTTCTTTTTTTCTTGAACGCACATGAACACTAGTCTGAAGATATATTTTTCTGGGGGAAACAAATATTTTTGGCATAAAAGAAATTAACTAATTAGTGTGTTTGGTTTTAATTTTCTAAATTCAATTTTTTGAAAATTGAATTATTTATTTTTTTTGTTTTTAATAAATATATTTAAAATTTTAAGCATTTTTTTTACTTTTTTAGATACACCTTATTTAGATGTATTTAAAAAATAAAATATTTATAAAAAATTAATAAATACATAAGAATACGAAAAATATACTGAATTCTTGTATTTTTTTAATTTTTGGTATTTAATGAATTTTTTAAAATAAATATTATACTTTTTAAGTATATTTATGTTAGGTGTATCTAAAAATTAAAAAAATTGCTCAGAATATTAAAAAAATTTAGTAGAAATAAACAAAACACAGAAAACAAAAAATTTGAATTTTTTGAAAAATAAATCTTGAAAATCCAAACCAAACAAGTTAAATACTATTCATTCATTTGTATGTGTGTGTCTACATAAATAAACAAATCTGAAAATAACTAAATTACAAGCAACCCAGTATACTGAAAGGTGTACTCACAGCAACAACATAAAATATGATATGTAGCGGCATACTGGCTTATGTGTTTTATTCTACAAATCTACAAATAAATAAACAAACAAAAACATAAAGCAACTCTTAAGGTTGTTCTCCTCTATCTTCTTCATCCATTGCCTCATTCTCCTGTAACATGTCCATCAGCATGTTTATTTGGTTTTGCAGCATTGCATTTTCTCTCTCCACATCGGAACGTTTGCTTCGTTCTTCCAGGAGCTGGATTTGCAGGTGTTCTAGGACCCGTGCATCCCCTTCTAACTGCTCATTTAGACCATCAATCTCCCGGTCCTGCAACCACAATCAAATAGTCGTGTGCATGCCACATAAACAAATAATAATAATAAAAAAAAAGGTAGAGAGCAAGGGTGGTCAAAACACCAGATCGGGCTGGCTTTAAGTTAAAAAATTAAAATAAAATAAAATAATTGTGCCTAAACCCAGCCTGGCCCGACTAGATAAATGATATTACAATCTCGAACCTGCCCAACAAACTTGTATATTAAACAAAAAAATATTATAAAACTAAAATATAATAATTTTGAATTGATTTGGCACAAAACCTTACTATTTAGTCATTACATCCTAATCTAATTTAAATATAAACTTAGGTAAGTATATTTTCCATCTAAAGTAAAATATATGTAATATATTAATTATTGGGCCGGGCCGGGCTGCATGAAACTTTTCCCAGCCCAACTCATGTAAAAAAACAGGCCTAAAATGTCATCATGGCCCAATCCGATGGGTTTAAATATTAATTTCAAACCCTTAAAGAAAACGAGCTAGACTAAGTGGGCCATCAGGCGGATGCCCACTCCTAGTAGAGGTGAGGGGATTGGTGAAATAACCTTTCTATTCATTTCCTGTATGGCAATCCTTCGCATGCTCTCAACAACATCCACGTTTACAAGCTTTCGCTTTTTCCCAATTAGCCAGCCTCGCGGGTAGCTTGCAGAGTCGAAGTCCGGTGGTGGGAGTAAGCTCTCAGCCGATGGTCGTTTACCATTTATATTGGGTTCCAATGGTTCAAATAGAGCCTTTCGTCGCTCGGAAAGAGCGGCAGCTGCTGATGAATCCAGCTTCTCCCCTTCAATGGGAGATTCTTCCTGTTTTTCACCTGCTATTGCTGAATCCTGATTCTTCTCTTCGATGGGAAATTCTTCCCCTTTCTCAGATGTCTTATCAGTTGTATCATCTGTTGCTTTGTCCACATTCCGGATGCTAGCTGCCATGATAGGATAACCATTTTAGTTTGAAATCATTAAGGTTGTGTTTAGATCATAGAATTTAGTAAAAATTTAGAAATGGAAAGAAAAACATAATGGAAATATGAATGAAATATAAGTTAATTTTATTTTTTTTTCCATTTCCCTCATCTTTGTCTTTTTCTTTTCAAATCCCTACCCAAATTGATCCAAACATAGCCTAAAAGAAGAGTGAAATCTTTATCAAACTCAAAAGATTTAAATTATAAACCTAACTCCAAAATTTATCAGAAGAGCATATCAAATCACAGTTTCAACTTTTTTTTTTTGTTTGATTGGCACTGGGGTGTCCGGATCAAAACTCGACTAATCCCCAAGAGTGTACAGGCCTCAGCAAGGAATCTCCCACAAGTACACCACGATAATTTAAGGGTATTCCCTTAGTTTGATGGTCCCAAAGAATTGTTAACACTAGAGAGGTTTCGATCCTTGAACCTTGGAGGGAGCACACCCCAAGACCTAAGGTCTTGCCACCAGGCCAACCCCTTGGGTTTAAATCACAGTTTCAACTTTAACAACTTATATACAATTAATCACTTTCCATGCAAGTGGTAAGAATTGAAACCTGGCCAAAATTTGGATTGAAATGTTCTTGGTAGAATTCTTGCTTAATTAAAAACCAATGAACTGAGAACCAAAGGAAGAACTGACGAAATTAGACTGCTTGGCAGGAACGATAATTGATTACAAAAAAGCTCAAACAACAAAATTTGATATTAATGTTCATAATACTAGAACATTCTATACAGCCTTTGATAGGGGGTGTAAACAATCAGTCTTCGACAGTAGGAGGCATAAATCTATTGTCTCTATCTAAGCCTCATCAAAAAGCCCATAGCCCATGGTCGAGGTTCAAGCCTAAGGATGAGCCTGGGCCAATGGTAGTGTTATGGGCTCCCGATATGCCTTTTAAAGCTCAGCCCAAAACCCGACAAATAGGCCATCCCAAATAATGGATACTATTTTTATTTTCCTGACACATGATTGAATGTTAGCAGGTTAATAAGTTTAGATTACCACAGTAAGCCAACACAAATCCATTGACTCAAACTTGAGACCTCAACTCACTGACACCTAAGTTCCCTCACTAGATTTATGCTAAATTAAAAATGAATAAAATTTAATAACATAATCATAATCAATGTAATTTCATATTTCAATAAATAAAGTTTATTTTTTTATTTTTCAAAAATTCAATATACAATTCTAATGGTTGTGATATACACTTCAAAATTTTATATTATAATCCTTATTTTTCCTACTAAATTTTGAATTTAGTTTTAATAACCCGAATTAAAGCCCAAATTAGACCCATTTGGGTCCATATTTTTAAGCCCATAGGTAGGGCCTAAGCTTTAGAAATATAGGATGGGCTGAACCGTTGCCTAGGCCTCAAATTTAGGACCAACCGAGATAGCCGTTGTTGAGGCTCAAGTCTATACCCATATGAAATAGAATCAATTAGATGCTTTAAGTGACCGTAAAGTCAACAAAATGAGCTCTTGCAACTGTGCCATCCTATTAAAGTTAAAGCTCATAGACAAACATATTGTACAGAATAATTCACATTGGACAATGGACTCATTTAAAAGAATAAAAAAATCATGGTTTCATTCACACCACACATTCATGCTCCTATCCTATCCTTTTCATTTCTAATCCATCTAATACTTTTTGTTTAAAAAGGTGAACATAGAGAGTACTTTTTGTTTAAAAATGTGAACATAGAGAGGAGAACTGTAACAAACATTGATGAATCATTGAGTGTCCTAACAAAGTAGGCATTGTAGGTAAAGAGTCTAATTACATGATCATTTTGATGAGAAACGGTTTTTGGACCAAATTGACCCAGATCTAGAGCTCCTTTTAGAGTTTGTTGAGAGAGAGAGAGAGAGAGAGAAGGCAGCATGAGGCATTACAATGCTAATGTGCAGTATAAGCCCTACAGATTAAAAAAAGGGAAGCCCTATGTCCAGTTCAACTTTGACTGCATCAAAACTAACACTGGTATTTTTTATTCAATATCTATTATTTATATCACCATGCAGAGCAAATGCTACTAAAAGTACAACAAAAATCAGAACTACCCACAATACAAATACACACACATTATGAAATCCGAAATGAATAAATAAAAAATATGAATGAAAGAAAATAACTACACTCCGTTTGTTTCGGATGAAAAGGAGTTTTAAAAAATGTTCACATTTTCTTGTGTTTGGTATAACAGAAAAGAAAGAAATGGGCAACAAATTTATTTATGCAAAAGTTTGCTACTTTGCGGTAAAGTGGTGGAAAACCTAATGGGTTTGCTACTTTTATGTTCAAGAAATAAATTTTAATACAGAAATGATGTAATTTTGACAAACTATCTCTTTTTGGCTTATCTGGTCCATTGATATATTTACATTTAGTGACAGATCACGTGTATAAGATATTTGTTCCAAGTTGACAATCTATCTCTTCCAACCATCAGATGAAGAGGAAGCCATCTTGAGGAAGACAACAAAAAAACGAAGAAATAGTGAAATACTAAGAGAGAGAGATTGGTAAACACTAACCAACCAAAGCAAACAAAGTGATGTGTGAGCAAAGTCATACAGAATACCTCTCTAAGGTTCGACTCCCCTCCAGTTTGTCCAGTTCATTGGCTCAGTAGTGGCCTACTAACCTTGGCTTTACACTCCTAGGGTGGGAACCCTGCCTAGGCTGAGTACTTGGTCTTTAAAAAAATTGTGTCTTAGAGGAATAAAAGGTGAGTGCAACAGTGAAACCACATCAACATTGACACGTGTATCACCACCCAATAATAAAACACCACATATGAGGTTGAACCCACAATGTAAATGTAACTGCCTTTCCAACTCACTCCACTAACCTACCACATGTACATTGTGTAGTATATTACGCTTACATGGTAGATTATCATTCCATGGTGATATCATGTGTCAATGCTAACATGATATCAATGAATGAATTTTTTTCTCATACTAAAGATGAGAGGTATAGATCGAGGGGATATATGATGCAAGACATTACAAGACCCATCTGATATAATGTTAAAAACAAAAGAGGTGTGTGAAATAGGGACTGGGCAGAGAATTAATCCAAGAGATTGGCAGACCCATCTGATACCATGATAAAAATTTTATGGATTCAGGCCTTGTTTAGGAACAGATTATTTTAATAATTTTTTGACTTTTTAATTTTTTATGAAAAGATGAGTAAAAAGTAAAAAGAAAAAAGAGTTTTTGATTTTTTAGTATAGATTATAAGTTTTTTGATATTTTAATAACTTTTTGACTAAAACACTCGCTCGCATGAACGAGGCCTCAATTCAAAATCAATTAGTTAAATAAACCCGAGAAATAAACCCGGGAAGGAGACTTGGCCCAAAAGACACAACAAGACTCTTGTCTTGACAGTTCAAATGTTAGAAATTTGGAGGTACCTTATCCAAAACCAATTAGACTCAAATTGAGAGACATCTATCTAAACAATATAGGGTAAATTACAAACGCCCTGAAATTTACTTAAATTACAAATTATCTTTGTAGTTCTACAAATTACATTATGCCTATAGGTTTCTAATTTCATAATAAATAAGACCTTTTATTAATAAATCATCAAGTTAAGTAATAATTTTTAATAATGTTAAAATTTTATTTCAATTAATAATTTAGATAATTTTATTATTTTACCGTTAGAAATTTTACTTTTTTTAATTAATTCCGTTAAATAAAAATTTTTAAGATATTAGTAATTTTTCAAACGCGAGACAATTAATATTTTAAGCAAATATCAAGTGTATTTGTAATTTACCCAATAACATAATATATAAAACTTGAAACTTGGGTGTCTGAATAATACGGATTTTCAACTTTCAAGAGATAGATCTGCTAAAAACCACTAAACAAACAACAAATATTACTTCAAAGCCATGTATGACTTGATGGGTATTGGCCAAAATCATCATAAAAATCCGAAACTTGAAACAATTGAACAGAGAACAAACCTGATCTCTTGCGAGACTTCCAGAAAACAGGAGTGGAAGATATGGGAGAGAAGCCATTCAAAGTCCCCTTCTTAGGTGTCTCCATTGACATGAACACTAAAAGGATCAAAATTGAAGAATTGAGAGCATCTGATGAGAGGGTAGGGTTCCTGTTGTAGAGAGAGAAAGAGAGTATAAGAGTTGCGGTTGGATTTGGTTTGATTTGTGTTGGGGGGTGTGGAGCTCTGGTTGTTGGTGTTGTCGTTTGCTTACCCAAACAGAGAGATAGAAATGATGTCTGATTTGTTAAGGTGACGGAATCATCAAGGCTCGTGGGTTTTGGTCGGACGGTTGAGATTTTGCAGCAATTTTTGGTGTTTTGTTGAGTAAAAATGAGGTGGTTCGATTTTTAAGACAAAAATTGTCTTTGCGGGGCCCCTCTCATTCCCCACCTTTGTTTTTCTACGGGAGATTATATATAATAACAAGGTTGATAGTGTTAAGGGCAAAGCACTAATAAATCTTAAATTTGAGAATGTTAATTTATTTAGTCTCGAATGTTTTTTGTTAGACTAATAGGTCCTATTTCTCTAAAAGTTTACTATAGGCCTTTTTATATCAAACATTATTCATCAAACATCAAACATTAGCAACGTCAGAATTATTTATCAAACATCAAACATTATAACGTCAAGATTATTCGTATAATTTCGGTAAAAACATTAGCAACGTTAGAATTATTCATCCAACATCAAACATTATCAAACGTCAGGATTATTCATCAAACATCAACCATTAAACATTAGGATTATTTATCAAACATCAAACATTATTCATCAAACATCAAACACAACCATTAAACATTAGAATTATTCATCAAACATCAAACATTATTCTCGAGATCCATCATCAAATTCATTAGAGCATCATCCACAACCCTTCTAATTCATGTGCCAAAATGTAACCCGCTACCTTGAACATCATCCACAAATTACGAATTCCACAAAACACAGTTGCAGTGATCATTCAAAAAAATCGATTTTTCCAATGTTTTGGAAATTCAGGGAATAACGAGTGTTATGATTCTGGGAACATAACATTCAGATTATCAAACTACAAGTTCAACATCGATCACAAAACTGTACCGTTAATCTCCATCATTTAAATGCACATCAAACCAAACAACCATTCTACTTCATGTGCCAAAAATGTAATCCACTATGTTGAACATTATCCAGTATTACGTTTTCCACAAAACACATATCCAAATCTGTCAAAATTTAACTACTCCCCCCAAAACGAAACAAACACCAACTAAAACATCAACACACACAGCACCGTCGCAATGTTAAAAAAACAAAACACACAACTAAAACATCATATATATATATATATATACATACACACAGACCTATATACACTCGATTACACGCTTCTCGATCTTCGGAAATCCGCAAATTCCACAAAATCTCCAAAAACAAATTAACGGTATCCCTCAATTTCTTCATTTCTTTATCCTCAAACTCCACCATTACGAAGCAATCTTATTCAAAACCCTACACACAAGCATTCAATCTCAAAATTCCCTTCAAATCCGCAAGTAAATCGATCACAACCTCGTGTTCCAATCTCGATTCATCTCCTCCATCGCCAATCCTCGTCTCCGACAACGGCAAGGGAGGAGGAGTAACAGAGGCGGTTACGGAGTAGGACCTAATAGTGCGATGGATGGATCGCCGCCTAGGGTTTCACGATCTGAGAGAGAGAGGGGCAATGGTTCTGGTGGTAGATCTTGAAGTAGGTGAGGAGGAGACAGTGAACGGAGGAGTGACGTCGTTAGAGGAGATGAGGTGGATAGAGGAGAGGGACTCCTAAGAAGATGAAGAGGAAAAGGAGGAGAGAGAGAGAGAGTTTGGCGATGATGTTCAGTGTTGATGATGATGTTCGAATATATGATGTTTGATGTTTGATGTTTTGATGATGACGTTGTGATGTAAAAACAGGACTAAATGGTTTATAAAAAAACATTCAGGACTAGATGGAGTAACATTTCTCAATATGGGACTTATGAGTAATTTTTCCTAGTTTTAATTATGATATTAATTTAATTATAATTTAATTATAAATAGATATATATATTATTATTAGGTCTCGTTTGGTAACATTACTTTTTAGTTTAAAAGTTAAAAAATTATTAAAAAAATTAAAAAATCAACAACTTATACTTAAAAGTCAAAGATTTCTATTTCTCTCTATTTTTTGCACATCTTTTCGTAAAAAAATAAAAAAATTATCTCAAACATATTAATTTTTTTAATATCATATTTTAGTCAAAAAATCAAAAAATTACTAAAAAAACATGTTCCTAAATGATGCCTTAGTTATAACTTATCACAATATTAATTATGATATTATTGTAATTATAATTTAAAAGATCTTTAGTCGTATGTATTTGGTTATGATTCATTTATTTATGTTTTAAGTTATGACTCTAAAATGATTGAGTTATAATATTTGTGATAATTAATTCTACAAATGTCATAACTAATATATTAGTATAAACTTAGAAAATTATTCTCAAAAAAAAAAAAAAAATGGTCTACTTTAATTTTTGGTATGACTAATATCTCATTAGTTTTAAATTTACATCACACTAATTTTTGGAATAAATTGTAATTTTTGTTATAAGGGTATAATTTCTCTACAGTCCACCAAAATGAATTGCATAGCACCAGTTGCCCAATGTGGATCCATTCTTAGCCATCTCAAGGATCCAAGTTGTTCTTATAGAACTCGTTGGGTAGATTATCTATACAAGAAATCAAATTAATCGAATATTGTTTGTTACACAATTAGATCACTTTTTCTTTCAAAAAAAGGAACGATCAATTCTGAAAATGATACATTGCATTCATTTAAAAATTAAAAAAAAGGGGGCAAATTACACCAAAGGTCCCTATAGTTTTTCACAAGTTACATTTTGGTCCTTGATGTTTCAATTTGAACACATTTGCCCTTCAAGTTTTGTTTTTGTGTCAAATAAGGACAATTATGAATGGAAGTTAAGTTTTTGGATGGAAAGTGGTCACTGCATTGCACGTGACCATTTTTCAAGAGTAAAATAGTCTTTTTATCCCCTCTCTCTATAATTCATATTCTTTCTTTCTTCTATTATCACCACCCACAACCACCAACCATTACCACCAAACATTACCACCCTATGCATAGCCACCAACCACCACCAAAACACCTCCTCTGCTAGTAAAGATAACGAGAGAGCAATTGGAGTCTTTCATTCTCTATTTCAATCAACATCTATGTTCACACACACACACACACACACACACACACACACACATATATATATATATACCTTTTTCAAAGGGTGATGCCATGGAAGGAACAGCATGCTCTGAGAAATATGATTATTTCAAAAAATATTTAATTGAAGGAAAAATATATTATTTTCACTACAAGAAAAAGCACTTTTAGCGACTAAATTTTTAGTCGCCAAAAGTCGACTTTTTAGTTTCCCCGACTAAATTGTTTAGTCGCCAGTTTTGTCGCGAAAAGACGGTCAGGGAAGGTATTGGCGACTAAAAAAATTTTAGTCGGCAAAAAGCAGGCCTTTAGCGGCCAAAACTTTGGTCGCCAATAGTCAATTAAATTTTTTTAAATTATACATTTACTGACTAATCTTTTAGTCGCCAATAGTCAAGGAATCGCCGACCAAACCTTTTAGTCGCCAAAAGCCCATCCGTGAAATAAAGAAAAAATATGCTCACTAGCTTTCATCCGCTGAAATTCGAATCACCAACCTCCCACCACACCCTAGACCTTAGGCAACACACTCTCTCCACTACACTTCTACAACACCATATGATTATATATGCAACATATATTATCTATATAGTATATTGACCCGTATTAATATAAAAGTATATGTATAAACATAATTATTTTTATTAAATATAATTTATGTAAAAAATAAATTATTTATTAAAAAAAATGTTATCTCAGTTTTGGCGACTAAATCCATTATTTAGTTGCCAATTCTACAATTTTAGGCTACTAATTAATTTTGCAGTCGCTAAAAAAAAATGTTGCGCCTAAAAACACACCTTTTGGCGACTAAACCTATTTTTAGTCGCCAAAAACGTCCCCTTTTGGCTACTAAACTGAATTTTAGTCGCCAATACTCAGTTTTTAGCTACTAATTTTTTTTTTGTAGCCAAAAAGCTTCACTTTCAGCGACTAATCTGGTTTTAGTCGCCAAAACACTTACAATCGGCGACCAATCTGCTTTTTAGTCGCCAAAACCAGCACCTTTGGCTACTAAATTGTTTTAGTCAGCAAAAACCATCACTTTTGGCGACGAAAATTGTGTTAGTCGCTGAAACCCATATAATAGGCGACCAAACTGATTTTTAGTCGCCAATACATATACATTTGGCTACTAAATGGTTTTAGTCGCCAAAAGTCTTCATTTTTGGAGACTAAAATGGATTTAGTCGCCATTTGTGCAACTTTCAGCGACGAAATTCATTTTTTTAGTCGCCATTGGTGCTTTTTGTTGTAGTGTATACATACATATATAAGTCAATCTCATAACCTCAATTAATTACAAACTAAATTTCTATCTTATTGATAATGACCAATTCCAGCATAATGTGTTGGCTTGAAGAGGGGTGTTTGCACAAGGAGATGCGTAGAGGTGATTGTACAAAGAGGGATTGTGGAATGGTTTGCGCAGGGAAAAGAAGAATAGTGGTTTGAGCAAGAGTGAAGGAATTGATGGATGATAGTTTGATCAAGAAACGGAAGAGAGGGGAAAGTAAGGCTGTAGGTGAAGAAGATGGAAGGATGAGCACGTGTTGGTTGTGTGTCGCCACTTGAAGTGGTGAACTTGGTGATATGGGGTTGGTAGTTAAGCAAGTCAACTCAATAAGTGACTCAAAGTGAATGAAGTCAAGTCAATAGGTTAGTGTATTTTTTCATTTTTGCCCCTAAATGATGGTCATGTGCAATGCATGTGACCATTTTTCATCCAAAAACTTAACTCACATCCACAATTGTCCTTATTTGACACAAAAACAAAACTTGGAGGGCAAATATATTCAAATTGAAACATTAGGAATCAAAATGAAACTCGAGGG